TATAATCGTTTTTAAGTAACTGAGAAGCTAACCTGAATATTAATAAAAATTTTCTATAGCAGTTACAAACAATCGTATTGCATAATAATAAGTATACAAGTATATAAAGAAAATAATTTAAAATTAATCTAAAATAAGCAATTGCCCACAAAACATATAAATATTCATCAATTTGTTTAATAAATTAATATACCTATTATAAAAAATATTTTACCTCTGACATAATTTATTTTAAAAATTTTGAATTATGTGAATAAAAGTAAAATAAAACAACATATATGAAACTTACAATGTTGATTAATAAATTACGCTTTATTTTATAGCTGCAAGTTTCTTGTTATTGAAAGTGTTGGATCCGCTTTTTTTTTTTTTTTGGTGCTCCACTTTTCATTTTATTATTTGGTGTTTTAATAATTAAGTCCATAATTGTGATCGATAACATTGGTTATAAGCCCTTAGAAAACTTGTATGTTTAGTTGAGTTTAGTTATGCTTCTGGGACAGGCAACATTTCAAGTTGTCTGCTAACACTTTTTAATTTGTCCCTCGACTACGCAGTCATTCCTGCTACTTATTTGGGAAGCATCTCCTAATATTACATTCCACAAAAAGTGTTGTAAGTCATAATTAATGATATAAATAATAAACATGTAATAAACTCTGCCAAAATAAATATGTAGTACGTCCGCATTATATTTTGTTTTTCTCTTTCTATTTAACTAGCTTCTCAACTAAACTAGAAGTGCATACTTTCTACATTATATATTTTCCTAGCATTGTTTTTGTTACATCGGCACAAATATATAAATAAAGCTATCTAATCTGAAGTTATAGAAACGCTGTGATTTTTCCTACAATCAGTCTAACAAAACATTACATTAGTTCAATTTTATGATAATCTTTATAAATGTATTTACAAAAGAATACATTTTTAGTTTTCCTTACCGGTTTTCCCCTTCTACGAAAAAACTTTTACTTTTAATTTTAAATAAATTTAAATTAACATATCCACCAAAAATATTCTTTAAAGATACAACAGTTGAAAGTCAATTACCGTATTATTTTGAAAAGTAATAACATTTATTGAAGATATAGATTTGGTAGATCTAGCTGCATAGTAATACCTAAGTATAATGATGTAGTTCCTTACAAGGAGGTAAGACTGCATCTAAATACGTGAAAGCATATTTTATGGTTCACGATGACAAGAATAATGATGATGTCGGTTCAGAAGTCGTGGATGATGAGCACTCGTTCTATCGAGTCACCCCAGCATCTATTCCTTCCTCGATTTTCAATGCCCATAGCACTTCGGGGCATGCAATTGATCGGCTCTCTCTCTCTTTTTTTTTTGTATTTCGTTTGCCGTGCCATCGGCAGGCAGCACATTGTTTAATATGCAAAACCATTTCCGCTACATTCCTGCTACGCTGCCACCAGCCTCCACTACCACTTTCCTCTGACTCTTTTGCATTGGACTCCAAAACGTTTTTCTTTTGGCTTGCGGCAACAATGTCAAAAATATGAGAAATAGCTACCAATATGGGAGTATCCTGGATGGCCCCAGGATTGAGTGGCCGGGGAAGAGTGGCAGTAAAATCAGCTTGAAATGTGCTTAGTGCGTATTGGGATGCGAATAGGAATGGGAATGGGCAACGACTTTGGCTTCGGCTTTGTCTGTTGCACAGTTGGCATAACTTAATGCAGGCTTGTGCCCAAGGCACATTTCGAGCTTTGTCAGAAGCGCTGTTGTTCCTGCTCCTGCTTCTGCTGCTGCTGCTGCTTTGGGGATGAGGTCAAAGTTGGTGGCTTGTTTTGGATCAGTTTGCATGCAGAAGTCATACTCGCAGCTGTCAGCTGCTCCCCAGGGCTCAGGGGTGTGACTTGAGTCCGTCTGTGTTTGCGGTCCTCGCACATATTGATATCTGTTTGATTTTTTATGAGTTTATAAATTTCTGATTAACTTGCTGCATGACGGTACAAGTATATGATTAAGTCGAGAGTTGCGTATCCTGCTTGTGTTTGCTTTGAGGTGGCATACAAATATTTTATGAAATATTTCATACCATTTCTAGCTTTCTTGGTTTGCTGAATGGGGTGTGCTCATTTTTTTTAGTTCTTTCAACTGTTATCCCTTTTTTTATTATTAATTAATAATGGAACATCTCTTGTCAAGCTAAAGACCTTAATTGCCAAAGTAATGCTTCAACCTCCAAAATACTGATATAAATTTTGGGTCAATAGAATTATGTCTTTCAAATTATATTATTATTAGCTTGCGTTGCTGCGCCACTGAATTTTAGTGCTTTTTAAGCTTTCTGGCGTCACATCTGTCCCAATAGCTCTATCGCTTTTTATAGCTTCGATTATATTCTTGATTATAGTTGAATACCAACCGTCGTCTGTACAAAAGACATCCATCGCCTGTTTGTGTTTCTTGGTCAGATGTGAATGCCTTTTCGCGCATTTGCCGAAGCCGCAAGTCCCATTCGTGTTCCGTTTCTATGACTCTAGAGTATAGACGTAGATGCCCTTTCTCGAAAATCTTGCAAACGTGATTCGCGTTTATCGGAATTTTCAGGTGCTCTTTTTTCGCTCCTTTTTTTTAATTTTTTGGTTCTTTTTTTTACCAAAAAATGTTTTTATGGTGGGATTATTTTCAGTTCAATTTTTTATTTATTAACGAATGAAACAAACAGAGCAAAAAGTGGCTGTCAAACAACTGAAAATGAGCAAAAGAAAGCCAGAAAACGACGACTGATCGCTATGAACAATCGGCACGAAACTTCACAGGTGCACCCAGACTATATTGAATATTGCCACAAAATTTGATCTCTAGGGAATATACATATATGTATACACGCATATGTACAAACATAGTACTTCCATTTATATATACATAGATAGATAGATGAAACTATAGTATTTTCTATGTGAGTTAATTTAATTTTGGTGATTATTTGAATAATATGCGGAGCACTTTTCTTATGCATGTTACTGTATTCCCTTAACGCTCGTTCCTTAACGGCCATGACACTCACCGGCTGTTGGGCTTCTGCTGCTTCTGACACTACCCCTGCACTTTACACACTTGTATGCATGCACGTGTATGTAAATGTAATGCCAAGTGCTCTTGTCGCTTAAGACAAAAGCCAAGTTTTTGCCAGCCGCAGCTGTGCAACAGTGAACATCCCCGTATCGGGACTGGTGCTTTGTCTTAACCCATTTTTCTACTTAAATCGTACGACATGAGACATAATTTTACTTCAAATTGCAATGACAGTTCCAGCAGCAACCACGATGACGAGGAACTTGGCAACGCCTCTTCACTTGTTCCCGATGCACAGCAATTGGGAATGCTTTTATCTGCCACGCGTGTACAGACATACACACACAGCCGCACAGCCGCCATACACATATAGTACGTAAGAACATGTGAGTGCCCCCCTATGTATGCTACGAGTATATGCTGGCGCTTTTGTTGCACGAGCCACGTTGACTAAAACGCCAACGCCAACTGTCCTGGCGACTGCGGCAGTGTCGCAGACGACTGCAGAAATTCCATTTCAATTGTTTGCTTAGATTATGCAGTTGTATTACGCAAAAAACGGAGAGAATGTACCCGTTGGCATGGCGCTCAGATTGAGAGCAAGTTACAAAATAAAAAATTCTTTAAAGCACTATCGGGCAGGCGGGCTTGTGGACTCGTTGGCAATTCTGGGACTTGTTTTCCTTGTTTTCAACGACATTTGGAACGCATGCCAGGTGAAGCACATGAATATGACAACAACTGCCGCTGCCCTATGCAAAAACACACCCGAACTGTTGCGGGTGTGTGAGAGTGTCTATGTGTGTGTGGGAAGCCCCATAGTGAACGGGTATAGTTGGCCAACTGGTAAGTTTTTAAAGTGAAAAGCGGTGTGGCGAGTCCTGTAGTTTGACATTTGAATAGCCCAGAGGAATTAAAACTATTTTTTAATGAAAAAGGACTGCTATTAATGTTAAAGCCATTTCAATTCTACTAAATTAGTTATACATTTAATTCAGTCTTCCAAGATAACTCATAGTATTTAATATAATTTGGCTGTTATCTTTGAAAACTGCTTTTATTGATAAATATCAAAAGTTTTTATTCCATACATTTTTCAAATTTGTGGGATTGAAGTAGGCGTTCGGTACACCCATTCTTGACCTACTACCTCCGGGAGACGGACGTCTGTATCGTTTGAGTCGGGATTGTGCGACTTTAGTGTTCTTTTGCTTATTTTAAAAGGGCAAGAGTGTGCCGATCATTAGATTTAAGGAAAAGTGCCTATTGCATTGATTATTTAGTTAATTTTTTAGGTTGTAACTTGCAATTTAAGGAACTTGACTATTAGTGGTTTACAAAATAAAAACATAACACTAAGGTTTCAAGGAGAAATTATTTTAGACTATTGCATTTGGTATTTTGTGCTATGGATGCCAATATGGCTATAGGGATCTATGCTGTATGAATAGATGAAAAAACAAGCTCATTTCTCAATGATATATCTCTTTGGTGCAAGCACATAAGTCGCAATGAATAGGGATTTCTATGGAAAAGACTGTACAAGGCATAGTGTGTGATATTAAAAAGAGCGTCCAAGCTGATGTTGTCCTTCATCCTCTGTAAATCTCCAACCTGACAATTATGTTGCAATCTTTGCATAACTTACCTTTCACACAGCTTCTTCGCCCCTGCCCATTGCCTGCCACTGCCATCTATAACTTTGTTGACTGCCCTGGACTATTAGCATTTTAATTAAATTTTTGTTGTTTATCATGTCATACAGGCAGCTCTCATACACGCATTCTCTCTCTCTCTCCCACTCTATCCGCCTCACTCTGCGATTCTGAGATTTTCTTGTTTTGGGGCGTATGCTGGACAATGTGCTTTATTGCATTTTTTGTTGTATTTTTATGCCACTCGTATGGATGGGTTGGGCTTGGATTTTATAAACGTCACGTGCTTCAACTTACCCACAACGGTCATTGTCTCCGACTCGGATACGGTATTGAAGGCGGGCGCCTCGCCGGACACCTCGCAGCGGTAGAGGCCGGAACTCTGCAGTGTTACGCGTCGCAACATCACCTGCGTGTCCGATGAGTTGCGGAGCTGTGCACACATGTGTGGGGGAGAGAAGACACAAAAAGTTCAAGCCAAAGTACATATTTGAGAAAAGTTAAAAATAAAGCAAATTACAGACAGTGGCACCGTGACGTGGCATGACTCGACAGGGATAGCAACAAGGACTTCGGCATCCGCCCACTAAAATTAAGGCAATTAGATTTCTGGTTTTCTGGTCGTCTTTTGCAGTTTGTTGCTGTTCTCGTTTTGTTTGTAAAATTAAGATTAATGATCGCAGCCTCTTCACAAGTTGTAGTTTATTATTTTTCTTCGGGCAAAATTAGTTTAAATGTTGTTGGAAAACGCAAAACCGAGGCAAACCAAAGCGCTCCAATGACAAGAGAGACAGGACGACAGCAGAGCAGCGGAAGCGGGGGAGGAGATGAAATGTAATTTGGTCAAGCGCCTGCCACCGGTGGTAGTCGGGGGAGTGCACAAAAATACAAGTCATAAACAAAAGCAACACGAATACGAGTATACTCGTAGAGCTAGGCAAAAAGCAATGAAAAATCTAGATACAATAACAGAATTTGTTGCTGATGCTGCTCCCCCTGCTCCCCCTGCTGGCGCTGCTGGTGCCATTGCCGTTGCCATGACTGGTGTACCATTTTATAACAGACATACACATACGCACATTAGCAACACTGTAGACACATGTGTGTGTGTGTGTGTTGTTGTTGTTGTAGCTCCTAGTGCCTCACTGCTGTTGTAAAAGTCACTCAACAATTTTGCTGGAAACAATTGCAGTCAAGTTCTTTAAGTTGCAGTTTTATTATAGCACACACACCCACACACACACACACACACACGTATACAGAACACACACTCACTACACATATGCATGTATGTGTGTGTATTTGTGCACTTCAGGCCGCATCAACTTTAACTGTTGGAGAACTTTTCATTCGTTTTCTTTGCCTTCGCTTACATTGCGTTGGCTGCTGCAAAATCTGACAGCGAATTTCGTTGCATTTCCTCACCCAACCGAAAACTTGTCGACAACATTTTTATGAAAATTCTTCTTTGAGAACCACACCACCACCACCACACTACCGCACCACCGCACCACCCGCCTCGCTACGAAAACAATCACAAAAGTCACGTTCAACATTATTTTGGTTTGTTGCTCGTTGTTGGCGTTGTTAGCGGAGGGCGCCATTGGATCGACTGCCACGCCCCCAACTTCTCGCCCACTGCCTTTTGTTTGTTCATTTCTAGTGGTGCACCATCTCCGTCCCCCACAACCATCCAAACTTAAGCCGATTTTTTAGCGCCGGGCCTGCTTGCCAGTTGGATCCACAGACTGCCAATTTCTATGCACGCTCAAGTTGTCAGCGCGCTGTGCAAACAGTCACTCGCTCACTGCTCATATTACACAACAGACGACCCATAAACCGGGACCAGCAGCAAATCTGGCATAGGGAAAAAGAAAACCAAAACCGCAATTCGAATTGCAGCCGGCGCTGCTCTTGCTCTCCCATGCCTTCGCTTGCCACATTTATTGCCTTTCGCAGCAACTTCTCTCTGGACGTGCCCGCCATTTTGTTTATGCTTGTGGCAAGCTGTTATTGTTATTTGCAATTTGGTTTGCATCTGAATTTATTGTGATTTTTAGTTTGTTACCACGTTACTTGGTGCGGATGACGGCAATGCATATCAATTTGTTGGTTTATTCGGGCAACTTCGTATATTCCCCCTTCAAATGGACCTCGTTACCAATCCACATTCATTTCAGCACATTAACTTGTAAATGTTCGCTTTACTAAATGAAACCCTATACAACATCTTATTAGATCTGTAAGGATTCATTCCTCATTGCTGATGAAGAATATACTTGTATTTACTTTGTGGGGTCTGCCTCGCCTTTTACCTTGAATCGGGTATACGAATTTTAAAGAACATTTCCAAGGAAGTCAAATTTCTGTGGTACACACTTCCAAGTTCCATTCCTATAAAATGTGCATGCATCTTTGAATCTCTAAGAGAATATAAAAGTTCTCCAGTTTCCTTTTACTTGCATGTTTTTCTTCTTTTTTTGAAGTGAAATATTTTTGGGCAACAACTTAAAAGTCTACACGAATCATAGCCCATTTATTTAAACAAACAAAAACCCAACTTAAAGTTAAAACAATCGTTTACCGAAGAGTATACAATTGGAAAATAAAATATCAGATATTGCTCGATGTGAACCTCTTAGTTATTATATAAAGAAGTTACAATTCAATTCCAAAACCTACAATGTAAACTTCTTTCTTCTGATTGGCACACAGCTGGGAATCTGGAAAGTTGCAGCTTAAATTTGAAAGAGATTTTTTAAGTCCTGATGCTTGTAAAACTACTCGTATCAGTAGTATCTGCTTTCACTTTGAACAAATTGGTTTATCCATAAAATGGATTTCAAAGCTTCAACGCTGGTATGTAATTGTAGGGACATACTCGCACATGCTTACATGCGACCCCTTTTAACTTTGGCATATTTTATGTCTAACCATCAAAGCTGCCACTAAACTTGCTTGCCTTTGTTCTAATCACGCATATGGCCATAAATATTTCATAAATGGTTACGCAGACAGCCCACAAAAAACCCTGTAACCCAATGCCATAACCCTTTTTCTCATGCCCTGCGGTCCTTGTCTCAAAATATAGACATTCACGTCTACAAATTATGTGGCATTACGCATTATTGTGCCTTGTTTCAACCGGGCTAGCTGCCATAACACATCCACCTACACATGCATGCCGCCGCCTCCTTAGCACACGCACAGCTCATAAAACACGCTCACGCATCACTCATACGCCACGCTGGTCGTCACTGCTCAGTTGCTGGCTTTGCTTTATTTTTCGCTCTGATGCAGCAGACGCCACCCTCAGAATGTCTTCAAGGTCGAACAACTTAAGTGCTTTAGCAAATTATTATTATTGTTATTAGAGCTGCTTGGCCTAGGACTCAGGTTCTGTTGGGCTCAGACTCGCTCTTCGGCCGGAGGTCGTCAACATGGTCGTGAACGCTCAGCGTTTGGAGTATCGGCAGCTTTAACTGATTTCTACCCAGAAAAAATAACGCGAACGCAACTACCTAACAAATTTTGTAACGAGCAACTGCGCAACCTTTTCAATAGAAATTGAGTGACGCGTTAGCGTGCAATGTGTACGTAAAATGGCGTCAAAGCCACAACGTGACCTCAGTCAAGTGGCAAACGGAAGCCGAGTCGCCCACACATGCGAGGTCTGGCCAAAGCAAGCCAGCGATGAGGCCTTCATGTGTCTACATTTATTTAGGTTAATACTTAATTATTAATGAATATCTTTGTTCTATTTTCTTGATGTTAGGCAGTTGATTTTCAATTCCGTTGAGCAGCATTTCAAGCACTTTCAAAAACAAATGTTGCTCCATTGAAATATCTCAAGCATTACAACCACTAACGGTATATTCGTTAAATAGACACGAGCTGCGCAAATAGACACCGCTCTGCAAATACACACGAGTGCGTATTACAAATAAACAAGAGAATATGCTAGTTGTACATTTCCAAATGATTATGCTTTTGTGCACTTATGCCTTACAATTAAGCCACCGCACTCAATCTTTGATTCAGAATTGCATTTTCTTTAAATTATTCTTTAAATTAGGAACTCCACCTACTTATGTCAATTTAAGAAAAAGTTTCAATAAAAAAACTTTCTAAAAGTCTGGTTGTGTCAAAAATAGTGCATTTTTCACATTTAAAAAAATATCTGTTCTCTCCCTAAAGGTCTATATTTATTTGCATATCAGTGTTTAGCTGCTTTCTTAAAAAAACGTAAAGTGTAACAATTTATTTTTAATTCGTCCTTTTTCTAAGCCTAACCTCGCACACTTACATTTTGATAGCCAGCGCAAAAATAACATCAACATTAAATTAAAGTTAAATGGCAAAACTACGTGGCAGCAATTTCATTTAGAGCAACACAATGAGGAGAGGACGCTAAAGCAACAAAAGCAACAACAATAGCAATAGCAGCAACAACAATAGGGAAACATGTTTAGTGGATGTATGTGTGTGTTCAAGTGTGGCAATTACATGTTTTAAAATAATCATTATGATAAGGCAATAACACTAAATCTACACGCCCTCAACGCCATTTAGCGATTGCTCCGCTTTGCCATTTTGTCTGTCACGGCGTTCCGGCTGCCATTGAAATCAGCGCCATAAATTGCAATAAAATTTTAAATTAAATTTTCAGTGCCACACACAATGGCGTGCCACCTGTTGCAGCCACCTTGGGTTCCTGTCGAGCCACCCACACCAGCACACCTAAGTATAACACGGATATGGAAACAACTACAGCTATGGCTACTCACGTCAATGTTAACGCCCGGCAACGGAAATGCCTGTCCAGGTGGCTTATCTCGTGGCACATAGCGATAGATCTCGTGGCCATCCTTGTACCACTTCACCGAGTACAGCGACTCCCCGTCCAGGGAGTAGCGGCAGCCGAGCAGTGCGCTTTTCAGGCGCATTATGTGATTGGGTATCTTCACCTCGGTCATTGTGAGTGAGCTGGTTATATCTGCAATTAGTCGTAAAGAGGGAGAGAGAGAGAGAGGGAGAGAGAGTTATAAAACGAGAGCAGGATAAAGATAATGAGGAAGGGTAGAGAGCAAAGCGGAACGAGCAAACTTTAATGTGCAATGTTTAGTTTTAGTTCAAGGCTCACCATCCACGCTCGTGTGGCCATTATGTTCAGGGCAAGTCGGATTTATGCCGCATGCCTTTTGGTAGCTGCGACGGTTTATGTCTCCGTTTAGGTAGCAGCGTAAACTTTTACGGTTCGGCCATTTACCGTTGCTTTACCGTTGCTAGCATGAAGCAGCGGGCCATAGCAGCTGCGCATTAACCCATTATGGGCAGATGTTCGGAAAACTAAACGGGTGCGACATGCACTATTTATACGAAGCAATAAATATACTTGTATAAACTGATTGTTTGATGGGAACTTTTTAATTCACTTGTAAATTGAAATTGAAGCTTTATGTACAAAGGACCCATACTTTTAAAAAATGTCCATTGGTGGTTCAGTCTAATATTTTATTATTCCTTACCTTAAAGCTAAGTCTATATTACATAGAGGCATTTTGGGGATTAAGAAGAGGTAGTTTCATAATCAAGGGCGCACGCAGGGGAGAGGGGGTTCAGCTGGGTCTATTGCACCCAACTAATTCGTTATTATGGCGCACTATATCGCCTTAAATTTGAACTGAGTTTGATTATTATTATATGATTCATATTTTACCGCACCGCGTATTATAAAATCAACATTTTAGTTTGTTGGTCCCCCCCTTTGGAAAAGCTGCGTACGCCCTGCTCTTACATAAGAATATAATATTTCTAGATTCTTTCTCTAAGTTTAATGAAGACTGAATCAGATTGAAAAATTATGTCGTGGCTATAGTAAATCTGCTTATGGGAATGTTACTATCGAACTTTATCAATTGATAAAAACTATTTCTAGTGATTTATTAATATGCAATTTTCTAATGCAGGCTCCATCATCTTGAACACTGGTGCACAGTTACATACAAGTATTTCCCTACAATTGTGTCAAATAGGAAGAGAAGAGGAAACATATCCAACTTGACAAAAAGTTGAGGTACGCGATTTTTAAGCATTTCCAACAAATGTTTTGCTTTGTTTTGTGAGTCCCCTTTGTTGGTTGCTGGCCATATTTTGCATATAAAATAGAAAGTGCTGCTTTGGGCCAGCAATATATGCCAAAAAGCCTCGACATGAATAACACTTATTCCGGCCACATTGCATATGCAGCAGAGGCAACCTATTATCGCAAAGCGGTTTGCCGACTCCGGGTGGGGAGGGGGGTAGTCGGAGAAAGACACAAACTGCACGTCCCTGCAGTCTACAATTCACGCGTCGGACAAATGCACTTTGTTTGGTCATTTGCTGCTGGTCAAAAATGTATGGAAAAAAGAGAATAAAAATCACACGAAAAACTTCGAAAGCTTTTAAATCACAAAAATGCACATTTCTTTTTTGCCTTCACGTCGCGACATTTCGCGTTTGGCGCGCACTTGCAAAATTTTTGCCCTGCAGGAGTCGCGTTTTACGATTGCCCGATGTTGCGTTATTGTGATGGCGAAGTCGGCAGTTGGTGGGTATTAGCATGCCATGCCAGGCCATGCTATGCCATGCCATGGACGCCGGCATGGCACGGACATGGACACACCTACTTATTTAATATGACGCTACACTTTTCATTTTTCAAAACGTCGCACGTCGGGAGTTAAAGGTGAAAAGAGCGAGCAGCAGAAGGCGAAATACGAAAGGAAGTTAAAAGGCGGAGGCAAAACGCGCGCACACAGGTCACGAGAGGTGAGCAGCGGAACGAGAAGAACTACGCTGGCAAACAAAGCATACAAAACAAATACTATATATACATATATATATATAAATGTACATATACAGACACACACATATAGTGGCCCACACGCATACTTGGGTGTCTGCACAGTGGCACGCTCTGGGCTGTAACGTATACGCCTCGTACGACACACACACACACACATGCACGTGCACGACACACCGTTGAATTTATCACATTCACATGCAAATTGCGCCAAACGACCTTATTATGCAAATTGCCAACTGCAAATGGAGAACGAAATTGATTTTCCTGCATTTCTACAATAACAAACCGCCACGGTTGACGAAGGAGACGGCGACCAAGTCCCAGCGAGCAAGCCTGCGACCGCGTTCTAGCACCCACCGCTATCTAGGTGTGTGTCCAGTATTTCTGTAAGTACTGAGTATGTGTGTGTGTGTGTGTGTGTGTGTGTGAGTGTTGCCTGCCCGGCATCGTTCAACAGTTTTGCAACATCGGCAAACCGCACTTACTCGTACGTATGTATGTATATACGAGTATGGCGGCAGTCCCTAACGCCAGCGACAAAGACAACGGCAACGACAGTATAATGGAGAAGTTACAGCAACAACAACAGCAATGGAGCTACACCTTGCCACATCTGTACAGCTGTACGTATGTATGTACATATGGCAGGTGAGTGTGTGTGTGTGTGTGTGTGTGTGTCTACATATCTTAACGCAGTTTAGTTTATACAGCGACAAATAGCGAATATATTGAGCTGTCACACTCCCAAACTCAAAGCGCTACTCAAAAGGAACAGGGCGCACAGACACATATACATACATGTACAGTGCATACGAGGATAATTCAGGAAGTACAGCAAAATGTAACGGGTTACGTATATAATCCAGGCTAGATGGTGGGCATAGGTGAGAGCGCACGCGAAATTTTTCCGGCTCTGGCTCGTCGGCAAGTGGGGTGGTGATCTTGCTTCTCGCCTATGGTTTGCCTATACATATATATTTCTTTAAAAAAAAGATGCGTGCAGACAAGCGGAAAAGTTGCGGTAATACACACACAGGATAGTAAGAGGGAAAACAAACATAAAACGAAAATTGCGACCCTCAGGTGTTAATGAGGTGAACTGCGACCCTCAGGTGTTATTGAGGTGAACTGCCCTCCCTACCATGGTCATTCCTTACCAAAAAAATAAGGACTAACTATTAGAATGACCCCTAAAATTTCCGGGAGACCTACAGGGGCGGCATGACTAGCATTGATCAAAAGAAGTTAAGTTAAAACATTATAAAATATAATTTATTCACAAAAAAAACGAACGTGGAAAAATAAGAAGTGCATGACAACCAATTATAAATAACAATTAAATAGGTATAATATAAATGAAATTAAATGTGTATGTATATGAATGCTTAAAATATATAGATAAAAGGTAATAAAAAAAATGAATATGAAAAATAAATAGAATTCAAAAATGATTTATAAAGGTATAACCAAAATGAAAAATATACATTCTTATGAATTATTAAATTAGAAAAAAACTTTCGGCATGGAAACAAAATGGCAGTAGAAAAATGATGCAAGAAAAAAGAATTGAATCAGTTAAGCTAAATAATGAAACTATATGTTCTGAGTTTTGCCTCTTTAGTTGAGTTTTTTTTTTTTGTTACGTGATTCGCAAAAAAAATAATAACAAAAAAATAATTTGCAAAAAAAATAACTTACTTGGCGTTATCCATCGCTGAAAGTACTTTCCCGATGAGACCGCTGCTGAAAAGGAAAATCTTAGATGATGGGAATACAATCCAACCATCTGTGTGGACACAAAACAGAATTTCGTTTCTTTTTCTTTTGCTGTACTCAAAAAAAACTCACTCGAAAGAAAACACTCAACAAAACATACAAAAAAAACGGTACTCCTCTTCCTCTTCAATATTCGAAGATACGGCCTCTCTTCGGATTTCGAGAACCAAGATAAACTAATAATTAAAATTCGGCCATGTGTTTCCCTATGCCTACACAAAGTAAAATTAATGACATCGACCAATGTAATATAAATGGTCTGAACCAAGATTAACAGTAAAAAAAAACTGTATGACTAAATAGAACTTTAAATATAAATATAATGAAAATTTAACCTATGGAGAAGTTGATTCTGGCTGGCCATTATATCGTTTTTTTTCCAACAACCAAAAATTTAGCCACTACTGCCTTTTCCCTTTGCTCAGGGCCACACGTCTTAGCTGCACTCAACCTTTTTATTTAAACCAAACACAACAATGAAGCCGACGCGGGTAAAATTTAGCAGCGTGGATACGACGGCGCTGGTAGCTGCTTCGCGTACGATAGAAGACTGAGTTGCACTCAGGTGGGTCGGACGATCGCCTGCGGTAGTTCTGCTGCGTCGAACATAGGGTCCAAAACTTGAGTGATTTCGTCTTTTAGAATTTTAATGCTGCTGGCGGCTGCCGTTTATTGCAAATGCCAATGCAATGGACTGCTCTTCGGTTTCAGAAACCCTCCAATACGATCAAGGGCTGGCATCCGGCGAAAATAGCTCAATATTATCACTGGCCTTTGTGTGGGCCTTTGTTTTATTTTTTTTTATTTTTTTTTATTTTTATAAAACCAATCTGGATACGCTCTTTTTGGCGACTTTAAAATTTTTCTTCGACTCGGATATAAAAAAAACTTTGAACTGCAATTTGCACACGTCTGATCTCGGCCAAGTATCACCAGAAAAAGAAAGCATCTGACGCCTTGGACCAGGCGGGAACCTTTTTACAGAGGCGGTAGGTCAGCGAGGTGAAAGTAGCCATTTTCGGCGAAAGTGACACTTGCACCTGTTAAGCAAGGAGTTACCCTATTGACCTGCTTGCGCCTTTCCATCATACGACCAAGAGGTGGCGCTAAGAAAAATTACGATATTCGCCTATTAAACTGATTTAACAAAACAGTTGCTGCTGCAAGCGTTACAAATGCCCCCCACCAAAATCAGACTTGGTGGTTTTTTTAAAAAAAACATCAAGGCTGATCACACCTAAGCTTGAAGCAGCTATTGCTTTAAGTCTTTTGCGTGATATTTGCCAACAAATCGACCCTGGAGATCCTCCAGCTCGTAATAGCAATTGCCAATTTTACGTCGAACACGGGCTTTGATATAGGCAGGTCCCAATTTTGAGTTATAGCCAGCTTGAAAATTACTCTGTCGAAAATTTCTCCGGTAAATTTCCTGACCTACCCTATACGAAACTGCTCTTGAGCGTAAATTGTAATTGCGCTCATTTTTCTCATTTTGTTTTCGCATTACCTCGCATGCTTTGCTTCGTATAAGTTCGAGAGAATCTTCCTTGCTATAAACAGCTGCTTTATCTTCTAGCAATTTTAAGTGTCTCAACAATTTGTAGGTTGAACCCGAATTTAAAAATTGTTGACCGAACACCATATAATATGGAGTAGCACCAATTCCGGAATGAACTGCTGACCTTAAAGCACAACTTATACTGCTCAAATGCTCGTCCCAGTCTTTTTGATCTGGCCTTATATAAGAACGAATAGCAGCAATAATTGAGCGATTTACACGCTCGGACGCATTAGCCTGTGGCGAATATACAGCTGTCAATGTATGAACAACTTGATTGTCCCGAAGCAACTTTTGAAAAGCTTCAGCCTTAAATTGCGAACCATTGTCTGAAACAACTGTCTCTGGAACTCCAAATGTGTGGAAAAGCTCCTGTTGCATATATTTCACGACAACATCTGCAGTCAGTTTTTTCACTGATTTAAGAAAAACAAACTTGGTGTAGTGGTCCATAACAATAAAAATACCAATATTTCCACTACGAGAACGCGGGTACGGGCCTAAGAAATCAATATACAACCTTTGAAAGAATCTCTGTGATTCTGGGGACTTTCCAATTGGCGGACGCTGAACTGTATTTGGCGCTTTAGTCGTTTTACATGTTTCGCAAGAATTTATGTAACATTTCACATCGTTCACTAAGCCTGGCCAATAATAATACCTTCGTATCCTTTCCAAAGTTTTATGCACTCCACCGTGAGAAGCTAACGGGTGGTCATGTGCGTTTTTCAAAACCTCTGAAACTAATTCCTTAGGAATCCATAACTTCCAACCAAAAGAATCATGCAACTGGTCTCCCGTTGCATGGTCTGATCTACGGTACACAAAATTTTCAACCACTTTAACATCGGGTAATTTGTCTGCATTTGCCTTAACGCGTTCCATGAGCTCAGTATAGTCATCGGACTTAAAAAATTTAGATTCCAAGTCGACTAACAAACCATTACTGGCCTCTATCGCAGCTATTTCGTCATCGTGCACCCTAGACAAAGCATCTGGAACAATATTCAATCTACCGCTTCGATGTTCAATTTTAAATCTAAAACCTTGAAGTTTTAGTGCCCATCGAGCAAGACGAGAATGTAAGTCTTGTTGTGACATGAGCCACTTTAAGGACGCATGATCGGTTATCACCGTGAATTCGTGACCTTCAACATAAGCACGAAAACGCTTAATGCATACTAAAGCTGCTAAACATTCTTGCTCAGTTACAGTATAATTTTTTTGAGCCTTGTTAAGTTTTTTCGAAACAAAAGCTATGGGATATTCATCTCCATCTTCAGTCTTTTGAACCAAGACACCTCCGACTCCAGTTTTGCTAGCGTCACAGTGTATAAAAAAGGGCTTGCTGAAATCGGGACTGCGTAGCACTGGTGCTAAGCAAAGCAACTGCTTTAATTTTACAAATGCTTGTTCACCCTCTGGAGTCATAATGAATTTCTGTCTGGGCTTTAACAGATCTGTAAGTGGAGCAGATATTGCGGCAAAATTGCTAATAAACTTGCGGTACCATCCAACCATTCCCAAGAAACTCCTTAGAGCTTTGAGTGTACGAGGAATTGGAAAATCTGTCATTGCTGAAATTTTTTCTGGGTCTGTACGAATGACACCTTCACCTATAATATGTCCTAAATATTTAACCGAGCGCATGCAAAATTTGCTCTTTTCTACGTTTAGTGTTAAACCAGCAGATTTGATTCGCTCAGCAACTTGAGTCAAAACCTTTAAGTGCGACTCAAAACTATTCGACACAATTAACAAGTCGTCCAAATAAACAAATACCTCATTTCTGAGCGATGGTGGAATAACTTTATCCATTAGACGAGTCATTGTTGCGGCAGCATTGGTCAAACCAAATGGCATGACTTTATACTGGTAAAGCGGCCTACCCGGTATCGTAAATGCTGTTTTATCTCGCGACGAAACATCTAACGGAATTTGCCAGTAGGCATCTTTCAAATCTAGACTTGATATAAACATTGCTTTTGGCAAACGGCTTAAAATGCCATCAATTTGTGGAAGCGGATACGCGTCTTTTCGCGATACAGCATTGACTTTTCTGCTATCCAAACAAATACGAAATTTTCCTGGCTTTTGTACCAACACAACTGGCGAAGACCAAGCACTGTCTGACTCTTCTATAACTCCTTGCTCAAGCATGCGATCAATCTCAGCATATAGAAGTTTTTCTTGAGCCGGAGAAATAGGAAAATGACGCTGTTTAATTGGTTTTGCATCACCAACGTCAATTATGTGCGATATGAGCGAAGTCTTGCCAAGACCAGAAACTACAAATGAAGGAAATTTGTCAATTACTGCCTGAAGGCTTTCCTTTTGTAAACCCAATAAGTTGTGAGAATCTGATGACAGTTCGGAAATTTCTCTGTCCGGTGGCAAAAGATTGAACGTTGTCCAAAAATCGATTCCAAGGTACAGATCCTGACTTAAGGAAGGAATAATATGCAACTCTATATCTTTCGTCTCGTTTTTGTATTTTATTGCAGTTTTAAAACGACCTACAATTTCTTGTTTTTTTCCATCTGCGGTACAAGCTGAACTTATAATTCTTTTGAAATTGAATCTACTTCGTATTAATTGTTCTGCCAATCGACCACCTACACAACTAATAGCTGCGCCAGTGTCCATTAATCCAAGCACAATTCTATCCAGCATACGAACTTCAGCATACGGGCGCTTATCATTATTTTTATAGCGAATGGCATTTATTGTTTTTGCAGATTGCCAATACGCGCGCATGCGTTTTGCATTTCTAGAAACTGATTTTCTTCTACCTAAGTTTTTAAAATTAAATATATCTACAAAGTTTTTGTACTTTTGCGGCCAATGCAAAAGTGACAACGTAGAACTAGCTGTACTTGTGTTTTCATCGGTAATTATTCGGCATTCGTTAATTTGCTGCTCTGAACACACGGGTGCTGCCGAGCCGGTGCGTTCGACCTCGAGTTTTTTGAGCATTTGGTGCAAGTTGGTTTATATGTATTCTTAGCACCACAACCATAACAAAAAACTCTACGCTTAGCTTCACAATCTTGATATCGATGCCCCTCTTTACGACAATTCCAACAAACTAGAGCCATTGCGCCAATTTCGCCTTCGCTCTCCATGTCAGAAAATTCTGCGGCATCCTCAGTTTCACTATCCTCTACCAGCTCAGAAACTTGCTTTCTAAAAGGAACTGTTTTTTGATAGCTATAATCTCGCTTTACGTCTTTTAAAAACGCTTCGCGACGGCGACAAATTTCACGCAGGCGGCTAACCGAATTTATTTGAATGTTTAATAATTCGTGCCTTATTTCGGGCCTTAAGTTTCGACGTAGTGTTTCGACAACAATCTCTTCAGGCATAGGACTTTCTAAACTATCCATTAGCTGAACTATTGCGTCATAAAATGAATCGAAATTTTCTTTTTCCCGCTGCTTTCGATCCCTGATAGCCTCTCGAATGTCTACATCTGTACGCGAATCTCGATATTGTTTTCGAAGTGCGTTACAAAGTAAGTCCCACCTTGCCAAAGGAGTAGTTCGATGGAACCGCCAATAAAATTCTCGTGCCTTTCCTTCAAAAAGCAAACTGGCATTAGAACAAAGAAGTGCAAAATTTCCCTCTAGAGTTTGGTGTGTCATTGCCTCAGCTCTATATATAAAATTATCGACACTAATGCCCTCCGGATTTCCATTGAAGCGTAACTTCCAACTATTCAGAATATGACCAACTTTATCTGGACGATACGTTAAATCGCTGTGCGAAGTTGGTGTTCCAGTAGGAAATACCACAGACATTGACTCGCGCTGACTGCGTTGCGCCTCTTGCTCATTATTATTTCTACGAGTATTTTGAGCCTGGTTTTGGGTCTGAGCCACTAAAGAACTCATCTGTTCTGCTATGTTGGTCCGTATCGACTGAGCTATTTGAGCTGACAATTGGCTAAAAAGGTCATTTTGCATGGCTCGAACTGCCTGAGCCACTATAGGAACGATAGAATTTTCTTGGGAATTCGTGCTATTCCGTTGTTCTGCTGATCTACTAGTACCCGGTATGTCGTCTTGAGTTGCATACGTTTCGTGTAATCTGACTTGTTGCCTGGTATTCTGCGCTATTGTGTCTGGTTGGCTTTTGAAACAAACAGCTACACAGAATGGGCAAGTATTTGATGTGCGTGCATGAGCCATAATGCACTTTTTATGAAATTCATGGCCACAAGTAGTCGTGTAGCCAGTCGTTGCTGCTATGCTCTTTTTACATATATGACACTGTGTTGTAGATTGGGCATTTGTGCCTGCCTCCTCATCCGAATGATCGACACCCATGATAAACAACAGAACTTATTAAGAGCAAAAAAAAATAACAGAAATACAAAACAGCTGATCTAAGCAATTTCAAGGGCAAGGTCAATAACCCTTGGAGCCGCTATTCGCTAATCTCTTCAACTGCTCTCTGTATGCGAACGAAACTGCAAACACAACCTGAGCGAAATGAGTGTAATTCTAAACAAATAATAATTATGCTAAGACCTAAAGTAAAACGTGTAAACAATAAAAACTATTGCGGTACTTGTAAATCAACAAATAAATATCAAGAAGAACAAAAAGCATAAACATAAATTGATCTTTTGCTTAGTCAATGCTCCCTGCATGAATCCCTTATCAGCAAATTAGCAGATTTGTTTACGTTTGCGTCGAAAAGAAAAAGTAAAATATTACGTTTGATGCTGGCGGCGACAAGTCATTACAATCGTCCACAGCTGATCCAATAGAATCAATTGCGGTAGACCTGTCCGTTTTTTTTCTTTCTTATTTTTCGCGCAACAACAACAACATGAGTAAGCTGTGGCCAAATGGTGATAACATTTATCAACTCAATTTGTCATCCAAAGCAACTTACATATTGAAATATTTTTTTTTTTTTTTTTAAAGGAAAAGATTTGGTTTTTGATTTATTAAATAATTTAAATGTGGTCAGAGGAATTCTTATAAAAGAAAATCACACTGCAAAATCCTATGCATTTAAACTACAAATAAAGTTTACCTATAGATTTGTTTTGAGTCTTTTCTTTCGCCTTTCAGCCGTGGTCAGTTGATTCGTTACTAATAACAAAGTCATCTGCATATCCTATGCGTCTTGAATAGCAAAATTAAAACTCAAAGGAAATTTGTTCAAATAGAAAAGCTTTCTGAATTACTTTCTCCTACTTTCAGCCGTGGTCAGGTATTCAACTACTGGAAATTTAAATACCTGCGTATCCTATGCGTCTAAATGAGGGATCAAATAACTCATAGGAAGAATAAATTTTAGCGGCAACACCAACCGTGGTTGAAAAGACAGAAGATAGGTAGCTGAACTACAAAGTGTCTCCAACCCAATGTTACTGTTATAATTTAGGAAAATTGAAAATGAAAATAAAGAAAAGAACATTGTGTGTGTGTGAGCCTCTATGAGATTATGGGCTTCTTTATCTGAATGTGAGTTCTAGAGAAAGTTATTATAAAGGTCTAGATAAAGTATGCCCCACACGTTGGGCGCCATTTTAAATAATATTATTGTTTATTATAATTCATAACTGTAACGGGTTACGTATATAATCCAGGCTAGATGGTGGGCATAGGTGAGAGCGCACGCGAAATTTTTCCGGCTCTGGCTCGTCGGCAAGTGGGGTGGTGATCTTGCTTCTCGCCTATGGTTTGCCTATACATATATATTTCTTTAAAAAAAAGATGCGTGCAGACAAGCGGAAAAGTTGCGGTAATACACACACAGGATAGTAAGAGGGAAAACAAACATAAAACGAAAATTGCGACCCTCAGGTGTTAATGAGGTGAACTGCGACCCTCAGGTGTTATTGAGGTGAACTGCCCTCCCTACCATGGTCATTCCTTACCAAAAAAATAAGGACTAACTATTAGAATGACCCCTAAAATTTCCGGGAGACCTACAGGGGCGGCATGACTAGCATTGATCAAAAGAAGTTAAGTTAAAACATTATAAAATATAATTTATTCACAAAAAAAACGAACGTGGAAAAATAAGAAGTGCATGACAACCAATTATAAATAACAATTAAATAGGTATAATATAAATGAAATTAAATGTGTATGTATATGAATGCTTAAAATATATAGATAAAAGGTAATAAAAAAAATGAATATGAAAAATAAATAGAATTCAAAAATGATTTATAAAGGTATAACCAAAATGAAAAATATACATTCTTATGAATTATTAAATTAGAAAAAAACTTTCGGCATGGAAACAAAATGGCAGTAGAAAAATGATGCAAGAAAAAAGAATTGAATCAGTTAAGCTAAATAATGAAACTATATGTTCTGAGTTTTGCCTCTTTAGTTGAGTTTTTTTTTTTTGTTACGTGATTCGCAAAAAAAATAATAACAAAAAAATAATTTGCAAAAAAAATAACTTACTTGGCGTTATCCATCGCTGAAAGTACTTTCCCGATGAGACCGCTGCTGAAAAGGAAAATCTTAGATGATGGGAATACAATCCAACCATCTGTGTGGACACAAAACAGAATTTCGTTTCTTTTTCTTTTGCTGTACTCAAAAAAAACTCACTCGAAAGAAAACACTCAACAAAACATACAAAAAAAACGGTACTCCTCTTCCTCTTCAATATTCGAAGATACGGCCTCTCTTCGGATTTCGAGAACCAAGATAAACTAATAATTAAAATTCGGCCATGTGTTTCCCTATGCCTACACAAAGTAAAATTAATGACATCGACCAATGTAATATAAATGGTCTGAACCAAGATTAACAGTAAAAAAAAACTGTATGACTAAATAGAACTTTAAATATAAATATAATGAAAATTTAACCTATGGAGAAGTTGATTCTGGCTGGCCATTATATCGTTTTTTTTCCAACAACCAAAAATTTAGCCACTACTGCCTTTTCCCTTTGCTCAGGGCCACACGTCTTAGCTGCACTCAACCTTTTTATTTAAACCAAACACAACAATGAAGCCGACGCGGGTAAAATTTAGCAGCGTGGATACGACGGCGCTGGTAGCTGCTTCGCGTACGATAGAAGACTGAGTTGCACTCAGGTGGGTCGGACGATCGCCTGCGGTAGTTCTGCTGCGTCGAACATAGGGTCCAAAACTTGAGTGATTTCGTCTTTTAGAATTTTAATGCTGCTGGCGGCTGCCGTTTATTGCAAATGCCAATGCAATGGACTGCTCTTCGGTTTCAGAAACCCTCCAATACGATCAAGGGCTGGCATCCGGCGAAAATAGCTCAATATTATCACTGGCCTTTGTGTGGGCCTTTGTTTTATTTTTTTTTATTTTTTTTTATTTTTATAAAACCAATCTGGATACGCTCTTTTTGGCGACTTTAAAATTTTTCTTCGACTCGGATATAAAAAAAACTTTGAACTGCAATTTGCACACGTCTGATCTCGGCCAAGTATCACCAGAAAAAGAAAGCATCTGACGCCTTGGACCAGGCGGGAACCTTTTTACAGAGGCGGTAGGTCAGCGAGGTGAAAGTAGCCATTTTCGGCGAAAGTGACACTTGCACCTGTTAAGCAAGGAGTTACCCTATTGACCTGCTTGCGCCTTTCCATCATACGACCAAGAGGTGGCGCTAAGAAAAATTACGATATTCGCCTATTAAACTGATTTAACAAAACAGTTGCTGCTGCAAGCGTTACAAAAATAATAATATCATCGCCTTGCCTCAAAATCAAAAAGCATATATGTACAAGTATAGCCACTTCTTAGATTCAATTGATCTTTTAAAATAAACTTTTCTTGCATCAGTTGTTCATTAGCTATACGATCGCCGAAACTTCAAATTATAGTCAGGCATTATAAAGCCTAAAACGGTATAAGGTTTTAGGTCGGCCATGTGGCACCTACTAAAAATTATGAGGCTATATAATAAACATAGGGATAAGAAAAGTCTGCATAAGTTTGTAATAAAAGATCTCGCTGTTCATATAAACCGACAGACGAACGAAAGGACGGAACGGAAATAGATATATCAATATCATTTCGTCTCCTTATAGTGATCATATAGTAAACTATATTTAAACAATAACTATAATTACGATTTACTTTTCCTCCTTTTCAATTATTGTTTTCATTTAAAACAAAATGGATAATTAAATTAAATGGTCAGCAGCAATGCCACGACTATTTAGAATTACTTAAATGTTCTATTCGTTTTAATCTGTTTTAATACTGAAACCGTTGCATATCTGATCTAAAACTCAAATTCTTAAAGACATAATTTGAAGAGAGTTTAAAAGCAAAAGGGAATAATGATGTCAAGCAACTTTTGAGTATGACGGCTTTATGCTCTCTGGTTTATATCATTAGATATCGAAGGAAATTATTTTCTCTGTATATTTTTAATCCAAAGAATATAGTTTTCGATTCGTCAGCCCTCGTGTTTTCGACTTGTTCTATGTTATTGAACAATGTGCACACAAATCGGCAGGCGCTCAGCCAGGAAGTCAGCCAGCCAGCCACCCAGCCAGCCAGTAAAGCAGACAGAGAGACAGGCAGGCAGGCAGGTAGGCAGCATTTGCGCCATCAGAAAAGAGTGGGGAAAAAGTTTGAATGGTTTCCAGCGCGCCGCCAGACAATTGCCACAAAAAAGGTGGCAGCCACAAAATGAGTTAGTTGTCGAAGCGCAACGCGCTCGTCTTTTTGCTGCCGCGCCGCCTGTTGTTGTTGATGGTAGTGCTGGCATTGTAGAGTTTGTGTGCTTGACGTGAATTTGGTTTTCAGCAAAAATTTATTACAAATACAGCACCGACACAGACACAGACACACACTCTCACACAAATACACACACACACACACACACACAAAAAGTCATACATTATAAATTCATTTCCGTTTGCATTGTGCGAGGCTCTCGGGTTGGTTTTTCAAATTCGTTTGTTTGTTTACTTATTCGTTTATGCTGCCAGCCAAGTCAGCAAAAAGAAGTAATAAAATACGCTAATAAGCGTAAGATGTGGGCCACAGCAAGAACACACAACCATAAAAATATAAAAGGCTATTTTAGGTACCATAAGCCAGTTAGAGTTCAGACATAAGCAACTACATACAAGTATGTATGTATGTCACCTATACATCAAGGCAGAAACGGGTTGTTGGCTTCTTAGACCTGGCCTCAGTAAACGCATATGGTAAGAGCGATTCTTTCGAATACTTTATTCAAATATGGGTTTAAATAAATACAGACATTTCAAGGAACTGAATTATGTCGATTGAGAAATGCTGTTACAATTCTGTTCTTTAATATATTGTATTTAAAATTCACCTGTGTTTATTTATTCTAGCTCTGATATCAGAGACTGTTTTTGCAGACACAAGACTGCTGTAATAAGAATAAATACGTAATACCGTGGGACCACTGTTGCTCTGCTCTCAAACTGCTGATCTATTTCAAAATCGATGTAAAGTTGTTAGATGGAGTTTTAGAAGTTTTAGTTATATTATAAGTCAGACAAAGCCTTGGCAATAATAGGCATTGAATCATTGTATGTACAGTATTAAACTTTAACTTATATATTTTGCAAGTCCGTTAGAAAAAGAATGGCCAAATAAGCTGAAACTTTCAACTTGAAAGTCATCAAGTGGAACACAATGCATTGAAGAAGAGATGAACTGATAAAGCCACAAACATTTTGTTAAATCAACTCAGAGAAAAATCAGCTAGAAGAAAAAGTCAAGCAATAAGTCCATAGTTTTTTTCTATCAAAAGTTTACAGTTTATTGTACATTGCGATGCAGAGAATATTCAATTCCTCTTTAACTCTTTTAATTTATGTTTACTGCATTTCTGGGTAGTGTTTTCATCTTAAGCTCTCTTCAGCTCAGACCCCAAGTCTATCTAATGCATTGGCCTTCAAAATATTTATAATTTTTATTTATTTACATATTTTCCTGTAGGAGTAAAGATACTAGTACGTAAGTATGTATAATTTAAAGAGCGACTGCCTTGCTGTCACTTGAGTGCTTCTTTCCATATTGCTGTGTCCTGTTGGCAACTAGGTGCGTAGGTCGGCCCCTCAGTTTAAGCCAAACGCGCCCTTATTGCACTAACTGACATTTGCCTTTATAAATTGGCCAGCATATTTCTTTTTGCTGTTGTTTCATTTCTTTGGCTGCAATAGCACACCTACACACCTACTCGAGTACATACCACATACACATAGGGTAGGCGTGTGTGTATAGTTGCCTGCGTAAATGGGGTGTATCCTTGCTTTGCACGCCTCTGTCGACTCAAAAGCGACTAAAGATTGCTCAAGTCAACGCAACTCAACGCAACGCAACGCAAAGAGAAGCAAAAACGGCAACAGCAATGGAACGGCAACGTCAACTGACTGCACATTAAAAATTAAAAAACGCCCAGGCAACCAAGGAGCTGGGTGGAAGGAGCAGAGGGTGGGAAGCGAAGGGGCAGGACACAGTGCCAGGACAAAGGCAAAAGTCGTAGCAACAACTTAGTAGAACAAAAAAAAAAAAAAAAGAGAAGCAAAGTAATTTCATGCATCGTTTAATTTTCGCTCGGGTTTAATTTGTGCAATGCCTCGCACACACGAGGAAGGCGAGGACAGTGGCAGACATACAAAGGCTTCATGTCTCAACCCTTATATCATGTAAAGAGTTTCTTTATGGCTGTTGTTGTTTTTGGCTCTTACATTGTTGTAATGCCCATTTAGACCTAATATCTGAGCCACTTCAGCGGCACTGACAATTGAAAGAGCAAATAAAATAAAAGTCAGCGATGCTGCACAACAAAATTCAAGGAGAAGAAATTGAAGCAGAATTTTTTAGACAAATAAAATTAAATGAAGCGCCTGCAAATGTTTTTTCTCTCCTTGTTTTTTTTTAGCTCAAAACACCCTTCCCCAGCAACTTTCTAACCATTTCAATGTTCCGGCTGGCGCTTGTGTGTTAACCCTTTGCCGAATACTCGTAGGAAGTAAAGCTCGTTTTCACGTCTACTGTTGCCACTCCCATCCCCTTTTCAGATTGTTTGCAATTTA